AAAAAAAAAAAAAAAATGAATGCCTACAGCTGACAGTTCTGCTACCTATTACATAGCTCAGTCTGTCTCAAGGCTGTCTGCTGATTTAAAAGAAAAAAAAAAGAGAGAGAAATACAAAGAAGGTGAGGATCAGTCTGTGTGAATTCAAGCTGGAAGTGTGTGCAGAACACAGAGCAGAGGCAGAAAACAGCCAGCGGAGGATGGCAGCAGGTAGAGTGCAGGGCTTCTCGTGCCGGCTCAGTCTGACAACTATCGCTCTTCCTCTCCTTCCTTTCCTCTCCCTCCCCCTCACAAAGGGTTACAGCCTGAGCCACGGGCTCCGAGGCACACTGAATCAAACCATACAGTCACCGACCAATCATAAAGCTGCAGCAGGCTGATGTAATCATTCCCACACAGACCTAAGCACGCACACACACACACACACACACACACACACACACACACACACACCCTCCCTGGGAGCCATACACACACTCCAGAAGACACACAGACGCTCAGTCATGCACAGACACAGCAAACTTTTTTTTTTCAGCCCTCTGGAAGCTCTCCGCCTCAGTTTCTTTTTCGAGCTCCGTGCAAGAGGGATCATTTGAGAAGGGCGTGGGGCAGTGAGGAGGAGCAGGGACAGGAAGGACAGAGAGGAAGGAGGGAGAAAATCTGCTGCTTGGTCTTGACATGAAGTTTTCAACTGAGGGCTTTCTGGCCTGTAGGCTTTTTTTTTTTTCCACGCTCTCTCTCCCCCTTTCTCTCTCCTTCTCTCTCCCTGAAGTCCTACCTGCTTCCCTTCCTGTGGCTCAACTCCGAAGACTCGTTACAGAGCAAATGAAACAAAAAAACTAACAGCGGAGAAGCTCTTGAGCAGGCCGACCTTTTCTTGGCGCAAAGCATGTCCCTTTTCTAGCAGCAGCCCTCTTTGCCAACATTTTATAGCTCATATGAAGCAAAACTACAAAACATTTGCTGACACACACATGCAGACACAGCTCTCATGGCCACCTTTAAACTTTTTTCATTCAGTACAGCTTCAGACGGTAAAAAAAAAAATGCTTGAAGCAACAAAGGCGTGTGCACATGTGAAATCAGAAGTGTACACACACAAGTAGTTGTAAAACAGCAGTCAGAGCTGCAACTTTTTCCAACACAATGAGGAAATTTGAGGATGGCTGGAAGTGGGAACAGTAGGAACGCAAAAAGAAAGGGAAGTGGATGACTGTATGTACATAGGCACGTATATGTGTGTGTCTTTGTGTGTGTGTGTGGGGGGGTGGGGTTGTGCATGGAAGAAACTGACACAGACGGATGTGCGAAGTGAAGGAAAAAGAGTGGGAAGCTGAGAGAAGTGAGAGACGCAGTCTGGTGACACACTGCAGCAAAATGTGGAGTATGAATGCTGTCCACTGTTGACTACATGGCCTGCACAGCTGCGTTCCCATCCACCCGCCCACCCCCCTCGCTGCCATGGCACTGAGACAACACACTCCCAGGGCTCCGTCAGAGTTTGTCAGCAATCAGGGGGGAAAGCCCAAGGAAGTCATACAGACAGTGGCCCCAAATGTTAAAAGCTGTTCGCTCGCTTCAGACAGGAGGTTAGACGTTTGATCAATACTTTTATCAGGCAGAAAAGATTATTTATGCAGTACCTATAAAAAGTCTTCACCCATTGGATGTTTTATGCTTTTAATGCTATAATAAATAAATCTTGAT